AGATGATAAAGATCCTGACCTGGTAAAATGAGCCATGCTGTTTCTGAATTCAATTGTGAAATCCCATTTGGAATGCTCTTCTATGGTAGTCCTTTATGTAAGTTTGCAAAGAGTTCTTCACACATGCATGTACGCTGCATAATTAATTGCTCACATGGTGGGTGAACAAGGCATGTAATGATAGTGAAATTTCAGTAGAGGTTTATTTCAGAATTTATTTCAAAATTTTGAAATTTTAGTAGAATTTTGAAATTCCAGTAGAGGTTTATTTCAAAATTTATTTCAAAATTTAGAAATGTCAGTAGAATTTTGAAATTTCAGTAGAGGTTTATTTCAAAATTTATTTCAAAATTTTTAAATTTCAGTAGAATTTTGAAATTCCAGTAGAGGTTTATTTCAAAATTTATTTCAAAATTTTGAAATTTCAGTAGAATTTTGAAATTCCAGTAGAGGTTTATTTCAAAATTTATTTCAAAATAGAAATAAAAAGTTAAAAAAAAGACAAAAATATGGTGGCACCTTAAAGACTATGTTTTATATTTTTTTTAAATGTGAGCTTTCATGGACAAGGCCAGTTTATCAGATATAAGAGACTGACATTTCTCTCTCTCCATAATGTGTGGCTCCTTTACTAATTCCTTTATCCATGTGACCGCCAAATGGTGCAAATAGACCAGTGTTGAGTCAGCCAGAAGAAAAGTTTGCATTTGCAAATGGCAATGAGGAGGGACTTTTTAGTGGCATCTGGGCAGAATGAAGGCCCTGATCTGGACACCACAGTTCTCTAAACTGATATCTGTGCCTGATAAAGGATTCTGGGAGTTGCATCCATGGACTGAACCCCCACATCTATACTCAGGCCACAGGCTGGTAGTGCCCTGGATCAATCAATGCTGTATGTGCCTATGTGAGCTGGTGGGTTGCAATGCCTCACCTCTGCAGAGGATGTTCCCAAGTGGCCTTAGCTGCTGTCTCTTAGCCTCAGCATCCCACTTGCCACATGAAGAAAATAATATTGTTCTGCCTACATAGCAGAGATTACCGAAATAATGCATGCAAACTTATTTGATAATTCAAAACTCTTTATTTATTTTATTCTGTATTTAAAATGGTTTTACCCTGCCTTTTCCCTTAAAAAGGACCCAAGGCAGATTGCATCATTAAAAGACAATATTTAAAGCTAAAAACAGTAAGTATACAATTATTGAAAAGGAGCAAACAAACACCACTCTAAGAAACAGTAAACAAAACAAACACCAAAGACACATTGAAAGCAGTAAGGCACAACCATCCATTAAAAAACCCAAGCAGCCAGTCACTAAGGGAAAGCCTGCCTGAAGAGAAAGGTCTTTGTTTCCTTGCAGAAGGACAACAAATAGGAGGGAGTTCCAAAGTCTGGGAGCAGCCACAGAGAAGGCCCCCTCTAGTGTCCTCATCAGATGCACTTTGAAGGTGGCAGGACCAAGAGAAAAACCTATCCTGATGACCTTAACACCCAAGTCCACTCATAATAGGAGATATGGTCCTTGAGATAGCTTGGACCCAGCACAAAATATAGGGCATAATATTGCTACTGATGACTGGGAAAATATGGAAAATTAATATAAAAATTATAAAATCAGTAAACTTTAAAGAAAATATATAAAAATGTTCTACAGATGGTACATGACACCAGATAAGTTGTCAAAAATGTATAAAAGTACAAATACATGCTGGAAATGTAAATTACAAGAGGGAACCTTGTATCATATGTGGTGGACATGTAGTAAAGGTAAAGGTAAAGGTTCCCCTTGACAATTTTTGTCCAGTCGTGTCCGACTTTAGGGGGCGGCGCTCATCCTGCTCTTCAAGCCATAGAGCCAGCGTTTGTCCGAAGACAATCTTTCCGTGGTCATATGGCCAGTGTGATTTAGACACGGAACGCTGTTTACCTTCCCACCGTGGAGGTCCCTATTTATCTACTCGCATTTGCATGCTTTCGAACTGCTAGGTTGGCGGGAGCTGAGACAGGCGACGGGCGCTCACTCCGTCGCGGGGATTCGATCTTACGACTGCTTGGTCTTCTGACCCTGCAGGACAGGCTTCTGCGGTTTAGCCGACAGCGCCACCACGTCCCCGGTGGACATGTAGTGAAGCAAAAAATTATTGGATACTAATACATGAATGTTTACAGAAAATTCTGCTACGTAATATACTATTTAAACCAAAATTATTCTTAGTAAATATGTTACCAGAAAGTTTAGATAGGAGAGAGACCCATTTGGTGATACATATAATAACTGCAGCTAAAATACTATATGCATGGAAACGGAAGAAAACCAAAATAACAAATTGTGAAGAACTTGTGGAAAAGATTATGGAAGTGACGGAGATGGGCATATAAACAGAAGCTTCGAACGACAATTCAGTCCAAGAAGCAACTGAAAAATGGGACCCTATATACTGTAACTGTATCCGTTCTATAACCTGAAAGACAAACGTGATAATTTTAATACAAAATAGTCAAATAACTCTAGTTGGAATTATACAGGCAACTAACAGACACAAATAATTTTTTTAAAAAGAGAGAGAGATTAAAACCAGCACTATTAATTGTGCCCAGAAATGGATCGGCAGCCAGTGGAACTGCTGCAACCGGGGGGGGGGGGGTTTACCGGATTTCGTTAACCAGTC